GACAAGTGGGCAGAAAACAACAGAATGCGGTTCAACAAGGAGAAATGCAAAGTGCTGCACCTAGGGAGGAAAAATGTCCAGCACACCTACAGCCTAGGGAATGACCTGCTGGGTGGCACGGAAGTGGAAAGGGATCTTGGAGTCCTAGTGGACTCCAAGATGAACATGAGTCGGCCGTGTGACGAAGCCATCAGAAAAGCCAATGGCACTTTATCGTGCATCAGCAGATGCATGACGAATAGGTCCAAAAAAGTGATACTTCCCCTCTATCGGGCGCTGGTCAGACCGCAGTTGGAGTACTGCGTGCAATTCTGGGCACCGCACTTCAAGAGGGATGCGGATAACCTGGAGAGGGTCCAGAGAAGGGCCACTCGTATGGTTAAGGGCTTGCAGGCCAAGCCCTATGAGGAGAGACTGGGGCACCTGGACCTCTTCAGCCGCTGCAAGAGAAGGTTGAGAGGCGACCTTGTGGCTGCCTATAAGTTCATCACGGGGGCACAGAAGGGAATTGGTGAGGTTTTATTCACCAAGGCACCCCCGGGGGTTACAAGAAGTAATGGCCACAAGCTAGCAGAGAGCAGATTTAGACTGGACATTAGGAAGAACTTCTTCACAGTTAGAGTGGCCAAGGTCTGGAACGGGCTCCCAAGGGAGGTGGTGCTCTCCCCTACCCTGGGGGTCTTCAAGTGGAGGTTGGATATGCATCTAGCTGGGGTCATCTAGACCCAGCACTCTCTCCTGCCTATGCAGGGGGTCGGACTCGATGATCTATTGAGGTCCCTTCCGACCCTAACATGTATGAATCTATGAAAGCATGGTTTGGCCCTGCCAGACTGCCAACAGACAGCCCCCCACTTCCAATGTACTAAATACATAGTCTCAATAAGGAGCTGTTTTTTGGGCTGAGATTACAGAAGAAAATCCTTCTTGGGCCATCCCAGACCATGTCTCTGTGGCACCAGGAGACTCTCCTGGACACCCCTGACCAAAGTCTTGCCTGACCCAAAGCACGGTTTTGCCCTGCCAGGCTGCCAACTGTCAGCCCCACATTCTCACTGTACTAAGTATATAGGCTCAAATAAGGAATTGGGTTTTGGGCTGTGATTATGGCAGGAAATCCTTCTTGGGCCACCCCACCCGACACCTCTGTACCACTGGGAGCCTCTCCCAGACATCCCTGACCAGAGTCTTGTCCAGCCCAAAGCGTGACCTGGCCCTGGCTAGGCTGTGAACTGATATAGCACCACCCACCCACCACTGTACTAAGTATATGGGCTCAAACTAGGAACTGGCTTTGGGCAGGGATTATGGCTGGAAATCCTTCTTAGGCCACACCGCACCACACACCTCTGTGCCACTAGGGGACTCTTCCAGACATCCCTGATAACAGTCTTGCCCAGCCCAAAGCACGGCTTGGCCCTGCCAGGCTGCCAATAGATGCCTCCGCCCCCCCGCCACTGTACTAAGTATATGGCCCTGAATAAGGAACTGGTTTTGGGGCTGGGATTACAGATGGAAATACCTTTTGGGCCACCCCGCACCATGACTCTGTGGCACCAGGGGACTCTCCCTGTCATGTCTGACCAGAGTCTTGCACAGCCCAAGGCACAGTTTATTCGTGTCAGGCTCTCAACTGACAGCCCCCAACCAGCCACTGTACTAAGTATATGGACCCAAATAAGGAACTGGCTTTTGGGTTGAAAATCCTTTTTGGGCCATCCCACACCATACCGCTGTGGCACCTAGGAACTCTCCTGACATCCCTTGCCAGACTGTTGCCTGGTCCAGAGTGTGGTTTGTGTGCGCCAGCCTGCTGACAGCCCCCCAGCCACTGTACTAAGTATATGGACCCAAATATAGAACTGGCTTTTGGGCTGGGATCACACATGGAAATCCATTTTGGACCACCACACACCATGCCTATATACTAATGGAGGTCTCTCCTGGACATCCCAGACAAAAATCTTTCCCAGCCCAAAGCATGCTTTGTGTGTGCCAGGCTGCCAACTGAGCCCCCCATGCCCACTGTACTAAGTATAGAGGTTTGAATAAGGAACTGGCTTTTGGGCTTGGATTATGGCTGCAAGTCCTTTTTAAGCTACCACGAAGCATGCCTCTGTGCCACCGGAGGACTCTCCTGGAGATCTCTGACCAGAGTCCTGCCCATCATAAAGCACAGTTTCTTTATGCCAGGCTGCCATCTGACAGCCCCCCATGCCATATACTTAGCATAGTGAGACTTGAATAAGGAACTGTTTGGGGCTGGGATTATGGCTGCAAATTAGGGGAGCACCAATAGAGATTTTTGGGGGCAATACCGATATTTAAGGAGGCATGTTGACCAATACCGATCCGATTTCCAATACAGCTGCCTCCAGCTGGTAAGTTTGGTGTGGTGAAAGGGGAGGGGGTAAGGAAAGGTTGTGAGGGGGCCAGATCAACGTCCCCTGCGGTGAGGGAGGAGGCAGGGGCAGGTGCTGCTCAGGTGCGGGGGGGTGCCCCCCAGATCTGTGAGGGGCAGGGCAGGCTGCAGCTGGGTCTGCACCAGGGCAGACCCTACAGTGAGAGGCTACGGGACCTGAACCTGTTCAGCCTTCACAAGAGAAGGCTGAGGGGGGACCTGGTGACTGTCTATAAACTCACTAGGGGGGACCAGAAGGGTTTGGGGGAGACCTTGTTTCCCCTAGTGCCCCCTGGGATAACAAGGAATAACGGCCACAAGTTGTTGGAGAGTAGGTTTAGATTAGACATCCGTAAGAACTACTTCACAGTAAGGGCGGCTAGGATCTGGAACCAACTTCCAGGGGAAGTTGGGACCCCTCAGGGGTCTTTAAGAAGAGGCTTGATGCCTACCTGGCTGGGGTCATTTGAGCCCAGTTTTCCTCCTGCCCAGGCAGGGGGTCAGACTTGAAGATCTACAAGGTCCCTTCCGACCCAAATTGTATGATTCTTCTGTTGTACTCGGCCTTGGTGAGGCTGCAGCTGGAGTACTGCGGCCAGTTTTGGGCTCCACAATTCAAAAAGGATGTGGAGAAGCTTGAGAGAGTGCAGAGGAGAGCTACGTGCATGATCAGAGGTCAGGAAAACAGACCTTATGATGAGAGGCTGAGAGCCATGGGACTCTTCAGCCTA